ATTTGAAGCTGTTCTTAAATATGTACATTATCTATAGGTATACATGTATCAGACAAAAAGACTTTCCAATGAACTTAGTTCTAGTTATCTTATGTCCTAGTCACAGGCACTTGTCTCAGAAAAAAAATTCCTATATACTTTTAATGTTATATTAAGGTATATAGGAATCAAAATTCTGAGAAAAGTGCCAGTGGTCCTTGTGTGAAATAAATCCACTGAGAATTGACCTTTTTAAACACATCTATATATACGTTTTCTCAAGGGTTTGTACATGTAAAGTGAAATTATGTTTACTCAATGCGTAGTTACAATAGACAATAGACAATATTTTTAAGCACAAACACATTTACATTAAATGGTTATGGCATACAGTATTGAGACAAGAAACTGACAATAGTTAAATTGTCTATAATTATATTAGAGTGACAGTGGTATTCACAGGGGGAAAAAAAGACTATAAATATGTGTGTATCGACAATTAACACATTATTAATGTTCATGAACAAAAAAAAACAAAAATAAAAATTAGGATACATATTAAAAGAAACATAAGTTATACAGATGTTCTCAATAAAAAACAATCATTAATATACTTTATGGTGATTTTTATAATGACTGGCAGACTGCTATTTAAAAGTGCGGTCATATGCCTCAGTTTTATAGGTGACTGCAATTTAATAAAATTGAAATTAAGATTTTTATTAATATTTTGTATATAGGTATCCCTCAATGGTGTATAGCATGGACAGACTGAGAAGAAATGGTATTCATCCTCAATTTCTTGTCTACTGCAGGATAGGCAAATAACATAAGTTTATTTGCTACTTTTTTTCTTCTTTATTTTATATAAATGATTTTTTTTCTTCAAATTTTAACATTTTTTTCTTCGAAAAATTTGTAGTGTTGCAACAGGGAATGGACACAGATACTTAACTACATTTAACGAAAGAAATTTTGTGTAATGTCATCAATCTGTATTACACATCGACAGGATGTTCTCTAGAAAACTATAGTATTTCTAAAACGTTATACACACCCCAGGGTAAACGCACTGTCGTAATGGAAAATTACTGCATGCTTTAATTAACTGTAATCAGCCATGCAACAAATCAGTTGACTGACCATGTCAATTCAGTTTAAAAAGTTTTTCCTTAGATCAAAACGGAATATTTATTTTAACTTTAAAAAAGTATACTTTGACATAATTATGAAGTAAAAGAATTTAACAATTTAATAATTGGATTTTTCCAAAGATTATGATACAATTATATTTATTATTCTGGGACTGACAGATATATCACAGGCACTTGTCTCAGATTTTTCCCCCCTATATATATATACCTTAATTAAAGTATATAGATTTTTTTTCTGAGAGAAGTGCCTGTGAGATATATACATGCATAAGTCCCAGACATATATACTTGTAAATCAAAATGATTTACATAATTACTGGGAAATAATATAATGTTTCAGTTATATTGATGTCACAAATACACATGCATTATTTGATGATGCATGCTGGAATTTCTTATCTAAATGCATGACGGTGACCACAGACATATATATATATATATCCATTTACTGATTCTATAATTTCATGAGAAAAAAAAATCAGGAGGGAAGTCAGAGGGAAGTGAAACAAACATTTTAAGCTTTTATTAAACATTGTTGGGAAAACAATAAAATACTACACTGAGTTTAAAAAAAAAAGTTTATGATTGGATTTTTTTTTTTAATAAAGATAGAAAATTTTTTTGTCCCAAGAAAAAAAAAACAATGCCCCCTTTTTAGCCACACCGACACACGCCGATGAATGGATAATTCCAAGTAGGGTCACAAGGTCACATTTTAAAACTTTTTCAGTCGCCCAGTCTCAAAAAGCAATTTTGACTGGCATTGTTTTTAGGTAAACGGACAGAAAGTCACAGGACAGAAAGTCACAGGACATAAAGTCACAAATTTGATAGGACGAAAAGTCACAAATAATTTCTCGGCAATTGTTTGAATATATAAGAGAAAGAACTTGAAATATTTTTCTTTTTATTACATATATTCATTTTTAAGTTTAGGAAATTGTTCATAAGCCTTGATAAATGAAAATTTATTAAATTTTAATCATGCAAAGGATATATTTCTTGGCACAATGAAGCCATTTAAGTACCAAGCCACTTTGACATTTTGTTTTCATAACAATTATTTGATCATTATTGATATTTATTGAATAAATTTTTATTACAAAGTTGCTTCATATATAATAGTTCAAGAAAAAACAAAAAAAATATTTTTAAATTAGTGTTTTCTTGTTTAAAGAAAAGTATTCTCAAAACTGAATTGTGACTTTTTGTCCTGTGACTTTTTGTCCGTGACTTTTTGTCTGTGACTTTTTGTCCTGTGACTTTCTGTCCTACATTCTGTTTTTAGTCGAATTATATTTTTGCATGTCAGATTGCAAAGTGGCAGGTCGGATTTGACCATGTTGACAACGGTCCTAAAAAATATCCGAAAAAGCGTTAAATCAAACGATATGAACCTACACAGTTTTATATTATAAGACTGAAACACACCAGTGTGCTAACTGTGCTGGGAGAGGTGCTGTAACTTGAGATACATGTAGATCATTAAGTTACAGTACTGTTAGGATTTGCCTGCCTTTTTACAGGGACTTTCTATACTAACTGTTAGTATAGACTGTCCCTGGCTTGAAAGTATGGTTCTCTGCTCAGCAACGGGTGCGTGATTGTAGCAGTAAAATACATCGGGGAGGGGGAGGGGGAGGGGGCACTTCAATACTTAATTGATAGGGGGTGTCGCTGGGGTTCTGTTACCCCACCCTTTTCATATAATTTAGATCTTAAAAATGTATACCTTTTCATATATTGCGTGGGTAAAATTGTAACCTTTTCCCATATTGGTTGGGTAGTTTGGGGTGTGTTGGAAAAGTGGAATATTTAAGGCTAAGATTCTGTGTGTAATGTTTACTTACGGCGAGACTTTCGGCTGTGAAAAAATGACAGGGCTTTGCATATACAAGTAATTGGAACTTTATCGACCTTATCATATATTTCTGATAGTTTTCTCCACCTATTCCCATATTTTCAAGCTGGAAAAAGTGACCTATTCCAGCGGCACGTCCTATCACCTTGTATATAGGAAGTGCCCCCCCCCCCCCGATTAATATACGCAAATGTATAAGTTAATACCTTAATTCAGGAGCACAGTCTGTCTTTACCGTAAATAACTTCGAGATTAATATGTAAGTTTACTTTGCTTATCGATGTTCCTGTAATTCAGATTTATATTTATTTGTGAGACCCCCGTCACTATTTATATTCACTCAAGAGTCACTCAAAGAAAGGGGTTCTCCGTTACTGGGAAAATCTTATCTGATTTAGGATCAATTTATTGGTTACACTCCCCTATCACCAGTCATTCTTTGTTGTAAGCTGACATTCTGAAAAAGGTATACTGTTGACTACCAATTTGCATGATTCAGGGGCGGATCCAGGATTTTGGAAAGGGGGGGCGTAGTATTTAAAGTTCAAAAAAAATTTTTTATACCTTATTTGGGGCTAAAAAACATAAATTAAGTGTAAAATGCACATTTTTAACGGTTCATGACGTGGGCATGTATATTTTATAGTTAAAGTGTAAGCTAGGGTTGGACATTTTTGATGCCGCATTCTCCCCATTAATTGTCTATTATAAAATGACTGAATGGATCCAAAGCTATGTACAACCAGAGACATATAATACAATTGTATTATATGTCTCTGGTACAACTAATATATTTGATGTGGGATTTGTCAGTAAAAAATGGACATGGAAAATTCCCGTTTGTCATGTTTGTTGTATGGTTAGTTAGCATAACCTCACAGATTTCTTTTTGTAAACATGTATGATGATATGTGGCTATTCAATGAAGTTTATAATACGACCGACAACGAACAAAGACAAACAAGCATTTTTTATCCAAATGTTTGGTTGAAATGTTTCACCCAACAAGGGAAGTGAGGGGTCCCAAATCAACCAAAGGCTACGAATGAGTCTGAAAATCAAATGACAACGAAGTTGTGAATGACAGTCGACAAATGGAGACAGGCCACACCCAGCAGGCAGGTTGCAGTCGGGCCTTGAAAAAAGTATTCAGTATATCAGTTCGGCGAAACAGACATTTCGGTCAGATATGGGATTTATATGCAAACCCCCAAAAAAATTTACGCCCGTTTTTTTATTCACCATGTTCATTTAATGCTGAATAATTCTGTTGGATTTTTTTTTCTGATAGCAAAAAGGGGACACAAGAATTGTTTTCAATACAGATACGGCCAGAATTTTTTTTTAAGGCAAAAATCTGGGTCAGAATTTTTTCTCTAAAATATCTCAGACTGCCCTATCAAATCAAATGGTCCGTACCTTAGACTTTAAATCTATCTAGAGCTTACTGACTGGGGATCACTATTCAGCAATGTTATTAATTGGCTGGGGCGTCTGGGGTTAAACATATTTTTGTAGGTAAATAATATTGCTGTGGAACTTTTTTTTCATGAGAGTGTAATAGAGTATTACTTTCTGTTGAGTGGAATTGTGAAATAGAAGTCAATACGTGGTTCTTGTTCAATCCTTTGTCGCTTTGAAAGAGTCATGCTTGTCATCCTCCGCCGAAAGCAATGTGTTACTGTAATTTAAATTTCAAAATGACTGAGTGACGTTTTTTTCGACGTACTGATCAACTCCACCGTAGCGAATCACATGACTTTGACATAATCAATAATATATTACAGTAAATACGAGCGAAAAATTTCTTTATAAGTAAAGAATTGTCGCATAAAAATTAAATACACGACCGGGTAATGGCAAAGTTCACGAAGTCTAGTCTGATTAATCATTTTACAAAAAAAAAAAAAAAAAAAAAGGTCATGCAAAGGGGGGGCGTACGGCCTCTACACCCCCCTCTGGATCCGTCACTGTGATTAGTTACAGATGTCGACTGGGACTACTGCAAAAGACAATAATTCAGTTCACTGATTTAGATTGAATAGTGGTTCGGTTAATTCTCCTTTTCCCCAAACAAGTAAGAATTAGGTTACATCTTTAGATTGTCAAAATAATTATGACGTCTTGCAAGACTATTTTATTTTTTTTTCTATCTATCTATCTTCATATTTCCGCACTCAGTCACAACTTTGACTATTACGTGCCCAGAAAAAAGTTAAAATAGCCTTGCAAGACGTCATAATTATTTGGACTAATCTTTTGGCAAATATGGTCGTACAACAGGGGTTTGTTACAATTTGCCGGATTTTCTATCCTTACAAACCCTGAAAAACTAACCAGGCCAGGTGATAAAAAATCTGTCTCCACTTTTTATCCCACCAGAAAATCAAAAGGTTGTCTCCTTATGGAGCTACCATTTGATTTTTAGGGGGTGCGGGGGGGGGGGGGGGGGGGCTAGGATGAAATTTGAAAAAAAAAGGCAGGACAGGAGTTATTAGTAAAAAAAAAAGGCAGGATGGGCAACATGGCAAAAAAAAAAGGCAGGATGACATTTTATGTAAATAAAGTCAGGATAAACTAATAAAAAAAGGCAGGAACGAATAGAGTGAAAAATATAAAGGCAGGACAGAGATTACAACTTAAAAAAAAAGCAGGACAACATTTTTCATCCTAGCCTCCCCCCCCCCCCCCCCCCCCCATAAAAATCAAATGGTAACTCCCTTACACCTACATGACAAAAACATATACAAATATGGTATCATTGGACATTGCCAATGTGACGGCTCTTCAATAGAAACTAAAGACGTAGAAGTTAACAACTATATAGGTCACCGTACAGATTTCAACAATGGGCTTAAAAGCCAAACTGCGTAATAAGCTACAAAAGGCCAAAATAGATAGACAATATCTGACAAGGGTAGAAATGTTCAGAATGTTGAAAAAAAAATCTACTGTCCATTTAAATGGCATCAAAACTGGCAGCTGACTCATAGGAGTTGTTGCCTTAAATACAGATTTTTACCCTTTTTTTTTCTTCATATTTCTTGAATTTGCCTTTTTATCTCTAAAACTGTAATATTTAAAGAGAAACTTAAATCTTATTAATTAGTTATTGCTTTTCAATGATGATTTTGATCCAGTTTTTGCAAAAACTTGGAAACTTTAAATCTTGGGTAAACTCCTTGTATTTATACTGCCTGGTCTCGTGGTAGCGTGTTCACCTCAAGTGCAGAAGGTTGTTTATTTTGAACCCAACTGGGTAAAACCAAAGACTTTAAAGTTGGTATTTGCTGCTTCTCCCCTAAGCACGCAGTATTATTAAGGAGTTAGAGCAAATACTGGTTTGTTCAGAGTCAGAATTATGTGTCAAGGTAAGGTGGGGTGCAACACTGAGAACAAGTGTAAGAGATAAATTAGTCCTTGTAAAAATTGTCTGGTCAGACAAATATAACTAGTATAAAAAGTCCATGGATACAGAATTTACTAGTATATTTAGTCCGATGTCAGTAATTTATGTCCCCAGACTAATTTTCCTAGTCCAAGACATCACTATTCCTAGGTAAAAATGTCCAGTTTTCAACGGCCGCAAAAAATTTTTGCGGTCGTATATTGGTATGACATTGGCGTCTTTGTCCGAAGACACATTGGTTTTTCGCAAAATAACTTTAGTTTAAGTGAATGGATCTCTATGAAATTTTACCATAAGGTTCAATACCACAAAAGGAAGGTTTGGAATGATTTTGGGGGTTATGGTACCAACAGTTAAGGAATTAGGGGCCAAAAAGGGGCAAAAAATAAGCATTTTTGTAACTTCCAGACAATAACTTGTGTGTTAGAGTATGGATCTCTCTGACATTGTACCACAAGGTTCCATATCACAAAGGGAATGCTGGGATTGATTTTGGGGGTAATTGCCTCAAAATTTTAGGAATTAGGGGCCAAAAAGGGGGCAAAAAACAAGCCTTTTTCTAGTTTCATGACAATAACTTGTGTTCAAGTGTATGGATCTTTCTGAAATTGTACTACAAGGTTCCATATCACAAAGGGAAAGCTTGAATTTAGATTGGGGTTAATTGCCCAAAACGTTTAGGAATAAGGGGCCAAAAAAGGGCTAAAAATAAGCATTTTTCTAGTTTCCAGACAATAACTTGTGTTCAAGTGTATGGATCTCTCTGAAATTGTACTACAAGGTTCCATATCACAAAGGGAAAGCTGGGTTTGAGTTTGGGGGTAATTGCCCTAAAGGTTTAGGAATTTGGGGCCAAAAAGGGGCCAAAAAACAAGCATTTTTCTAGTTTCCAGACAATAACTTGTGTTCAAGTGTATGGATCTCTCTGAAATTGTACTGCAAGGTACCATACTACAAAGGGAAGGCTGGGATTGAGTTTGGGGTGATTAATCATAAGGGGGTTGATTTTGGGGGTAATTGCCTTAAAATATTAGGAATTGGGGGCCAAAAAGGGGCAAAAAACAAGCATTTTTCTAGTTTCAGGACAATAACTTGTGTGTAAGTGTATGAATCTTTATGAAATTGTACTACAAGGTTCCATATCACAAAGGGAAAGCTGGGTTTGAGTTTGGGGGTAATTGCCCTAAACGTTTAGGAATTTGGGGCCGAAAAGGGGCCAATAAACAAGCATTTTTCTAGTTTCCAGACAATAACTTGTGTTCAAGTGTATGGATCTCTCTGAAATTGTACTGCAAGGTACCATACTACAAAGGGAAGGCTGGGATTGAGTTTGGGGGTGATTAATCATAAGGGGGTTAAAAAAATTGGGGGGGGGGGGGGGGGGGTTTCCTTTATTTTTTTCTTTAAAATTTTCCATTTTAAGTTGGTTATTTTTTATTTATGTATAAAAGCAAATAATAATGATATGGTTTGATTTCATCAAAAATTGAAATATTTGGGTTCTTTGATATGCTGAATTTAACCGTGTATTTAGATTCTTAATTTTTGGTCCCGTTTTCAAATTGGTCTACATTAAGGTTCAAAGGGTCCAAAATTAAACTTAGTTTGATTTTAACAAAAATTGAATTCTTGGGGTTCTTTGATATGCTGAATCTAACCGTGTATGTATTTAGATTTTGGATATTGGACCATAATAGGTAAATTAAAATTTTTTAAGTTCTTAGACCACATTCATTCTGTGTCAGAAACCTATGCTGTGTCAAATATTTAATCGCAATCCAAATTCAGAGCTGTATCAAGCTTGAATGTTGTGTCCATACTTGCCCCAACTGTTCAGCATGTTCAGGGTTCTAACTCTGCAGTCGTATCAAGCTGCAACCAGCGGAGCATTTTATTCTTATACTGTATGCAACATGTCAAGTATATTTGGTGTATGAAAATTTTTAAGGATGTACATGTTAGTCTGGCATGTTTTATTCGACCTTGACCTCATTTTTATGGTTCATTGCTCAATGTTATTTTTTTGTTTTTTGGTCAGTTTTTCTATTTTCTTATTTTCAAATTAGCAATAGGTCAACTATATTTGGTGTATGGACTGATAGAAAGGTGCATATCATGATATGTTTGACTGAGAAGTTTCGTCTTACCTTGACTTTATTTTCATAGTACATTGGACAATGTTTAGTTTTTGTGGTTTGGTCTATTTTTCAGATACTGTAAGCAATAAGGCCCCTATATTTGGTGAATGGAATGATTGTAAGATGCACGTGTCTGTCTGGCATGTTTTATATTACCATGACCTCATTTTCATGGTTCATTGGTCAATGAAAAGTTTGCATTGTTTTGTCAGTTTATCATATGTTTTAATCAACAGCTAAATTATATTTGGCGGATGTAACGATTGTAAGGTGTGCATGTCTGTCTGGCAGATTCATATAACCATGACCGCATTTTATGGTTCTTTGGTCAATGCTAAGTTTTCTTGGTTTTTTCTTTTTATCAGATATTATAAGCATATGTCTACTTGTAAGTGTATGGAATGACTGCAAGGTGTCATATAAAAATAAGAAGTTGTCTGTCTGCCAAGGTTATTACTGTGACCTCATTTTCATAGAATATTGATAATATTAAACAAAAAAAATGATGAGCATGACAAGATACACAAATGATCCAAAATTGTCAGTTGCCTACTAATTATGTAATAGTAGTTATTGTCATTAAATGATAATGTTTACCCTTTTATGTGTAGGGCAAGAACATTAAAGATAAAGGGAAACTATAAACAAAAGAAATTATCAACAAAAATAGATTTACAGACATCAACAAAGCCTAAATGGTAAGTCCACTTCTATAAAAGTTATTGCACTTGAATAATGATTATTATGAAAATAAGATGTGGTATGATAAATGAGAAAACTATCCACCAGAGTTCAATTAAGTGGATGAAAGCAGTGCAATTACTTATTAGAGGCCAATGATGACCTGTAAATAATGAGAAAACCCATAACCTATACATGATATAGTCATCTATAAAAGACATCACAAACAAAATTTGGAACAAAACATCAATTCAAACTTCAAATATACCAGACTTATTCATAAAAAAGAACAAGTTATGAAAAAACAAATATGATGGACGTGAACCAACATCAACCACTGAACTATGTACAGGCTCCTGATTTCGGACAGGCAAAATATGGCAGGGTTATGAAAATAAGAAGCAGTATGATTGTCAATGAGACTTTTCTCAAATAAGGATCAAATGACATGAAATTTAACAAAATTAGTTCACTGTACAGCCTTTCGACAATGAGCAAACCCTATACTGCATAGTAATCTATAAAAGGCCATGAAATTCAAAAAACAAATGTAAAACAATTCAAAAAGGGCATGGCGTCATTTAAAAAGGGCATAATGTCTATCCATGCTAAACATGCTTGGGGAAACACCACAAAGGCGAAAGCTAAGTGCCTGATTTTTGCACAAAACAAACAAAAAACAAATATGATATATAGCAACAATTGACAACCACTGAATAACAGGCCCCTGACTTGGGACAGACACTTACAAAATGTGGTATGGTTTAACATGTTTGCTGTCACCAAATCCTCCTCTAATTAAGGACAGTGGTGTAAGTGTCAGTTCAATAAAAAAACTATAAAATCAGTTGAAAAGGGCTTTTTTCTGCTCTTTGGTCAGGTTATTTTTATACATTCCAGTTTTCATTCTCAATTTTATTAACTCATTAGAATGCAACAAAGCAGAAAAACAGCTACCAAAAACACAGACCGGATGTGGCTGGAAATTTATTCTTTCCCTGTACATAACAAAAAAGACTCAACAGACAGATCTATTTGTACTCACAGTTACTGACAGCTAATTCATTGCAAATATCAACTAATAAAATAAACATTTTGTGAGCATCCAACCCACCCCTAACCTAGGACAGTGGTTTTAATAACAGCACAACCTTTGGACAAACTGTAAACATTTGTTGCAATTGGCTTAACTCAAAAGACTGCAACAAGGCACAAAAACAACTAATATAAAACCATAGACACAAAGCACTGAAATAAGAGTTCTTACAATTTTAAATATTCAAATGAAAGTTTTATCAAAATGTACATAAACATGATAAAGTAGCCATTTTATTGCTGTATTTCTCTTCATTTATAATTTTTGAGTTTTGTGTATTTGTAGGTCAGACATCTTGGTTTTCAGGATCATCATTCAACAGGTCAATACTGAACAGAAAACTTAAAGTTGATATTTTTCTACATAGTGTGACTTTTTTATTAATTTGAAATGGAATGTGTTTTTTTCCTACATAAGAAAGAGGAAATTTCAACATAATGACTATAAACAAAAAGGAGTCATATTATCAGGATCATAGATGCACAAGAACTAAATCATGTAAATGCAACAACGTAATTATCAATTGAAAGAAGGGAGGAATGAAAAAATATATTAGTATTTTGTTGTCCAAATGAACTTGCTTTGTCCACTGAGGCTCCACTCATTTAAATCGCTCCATCAAATAAAGATGTACGGAGGAAGATTTTTGAAGAACAGATTGCAAAAATGTTTTGTCTTAGAATTGTAGGAATATTCTAGTGGATGAAATAATTTATTTACTTGACTCTTATATAGTGGACTGAATAATTGTTCATAGCAAGCTGAAACAAAAAAACTAAAACTTAACAGGAAAAGTGTTTATTTTATAAATTTGCAAGTATAAACGTAATATTATGAACACCACAAAGGTATAAGATTCAAATCGTTTGCATATTCATGTATTGCAATGGACCTATAACACAGAAAACTTTACCTCATTAAAAGAGTAAACTATTAACTGTGCTTTGTCAATTTATTCAGTCAGAATATGAAATATTTTTTTCAGTTCTATTTTTCATAATAAAACAAACAAGACAAAGATTTCAAATCAATATTTTTTTCTTTTATTAAGACATGTCATCATTTTATTTCAGTTAAAGGATTTTATTTATTGACTTTAAATATTATTATACTTTCCAAAATAATAATAATCTTTATAGTCATATAAACAAGTTAAAAACATGTTTGTGACAAAATGAAAAAACCCAAAATACACTCATATTTATATTATAAACTTTTTACTACCAAACAGAATTCATTGTAACATACACATTACTGTATATTTATAACTTGAATTCCATAGGATTTTATTTTGTCCCATGGGATATTAAAAATCCCATGGGATAATTATAGTCCCATGGGATTTTTTTGGTCCCATGGGACAACAAATATCCCATGGGACTACAATTATCCCATGGGACCCTAAAAAATCCTATGGGATTTAACCAAAATCCCATGGGATAATGGTCAATCCCATGGGATTTGCCTTATCCCATGGGATATTGAAAATCCCATGTTTTTCTAAATCAAATTACAAAATATATATAATAATAACAGCAGAAAAGCAATGAAATTATTGAATCCCATGTAATTCCGCACATTTTGGTTATATACACGACACTGTTGGTCTAAGGAGAGGCGGCGGCGGATTTGCAAATGAGTGTTTTGCAAATTAAAAGTGTCCAGTGTTCATCTTTAAATATCCTCAGATGTCTGTACAACGTCTAATCAACGTCCTAAAACCCACCATTAAACCTCTTTGAATATCCTCAAATATCTATACAACGTCTAATCAACGTCATAACAACAACCATTTAACCTCTTTAAATATCATCGAAGTCGTCAGAGCTAATTAAAGATCAAAGTAAATCCTTATTAACATTCTTAAATTGGACAACTTAAGGCAATGAAATAATAATTCATATAAGTTAACGTCCTGAATAGGTGCTTCAACATCTTTGAAACATCAGAAAATCATTCCTTCCAACAAAGGTTGGTAACCTTATAATTCAGTGCTGGTAGACATGTCTCCACAACTACTTTGCACATCAATCTGATGTTGACCAGGGGTTTAAAAACGGTCGCATTGGCAGGGCTTGACCAGTAAATTATATTTTTAACTTGATATGCAGAGCCTGAATTGTGGACACATACGGTTTTAACAAGTAAATAGAGGAGAAACTAACAAAAATCAATGAACTTAGTTCAAAAAAGCAGAACTATGAGCTTTGAACACTTGAAATATGTGTTGAAACAAAACAATAAATAATTGAATGAATCGACATATTTTAATGTGGTATTTTTAAAAACGTCAATGTCAATTTTCTGCTCCGTTTCGTTTATGTCTGCTGCTCCATCAGTTGATGACACAGCTTTCTTCTTCGACCACTCACACATTATGTCAGATGGATACTTCAGGTAAGCTGCTGTTACCTGTATGACATGTTCCGTTTCTAAAATAATAAAATATGTAATTTATGTGAAAACCAAACAGTTTTTGTTTACAACATCATGTCATTAGTTCTGCATTATCGATGTTTAAAGCAAATTTTGGGGCAAAGATTTAAAACCCAGACTTCAATTACATATTGTTGTAGGTATAGTAAAAATATTATTTATATTTTATTTTAAAGTAGGGATCATACATTGCAAACACAGATCAATGATGGAAAATATAATAATTTTTTTTCCAAATTATCTTGAAATATCACCGAGATCTTGGCAGTCACTCATCTTGAGAAACAATAATGCACCGCAAGCACCGACATCTTTACAGTCCTTCATCTTGGGAAACAATAATGTACCGCTAGTACCGAGATCTTGACAGTCACTCATCTTGAGATACAATAATGCCCCACAAGCACAGAGATCTTGACAGTCACTCATCTTGGGAAACCATATTGCATCGCAAGCACCGAGATCTTGACAGTCACTCATCTTGGAAACAATAATGCATTACAAGCACCGAGATCTTGGCAGTCACTCATCTTGAGAAACAATAATACACCACAAGCACCGATAACTTTACAGTCACTCATCCTGGGAAACAATAATGCACCGCAAGCACCAAAATCTTGACAGTCACTCATCTTGAGATCCAATAATGCCCCACAAACACCGAGATCTGTACAGTCACTCATCTTGGGGAAACATAATAATGCACCGCAAGTACCGAGATCTTGACAGTTACTATAATGCACCACAATCACCGAGATCTTGACAAACACTCATTTTGTATTATAAAACACCCATAAAAACTGTATCCTACATTGCCAGATAGACCCCTATAAATTTAATATAATTCAAACTGATAAATATTATTCATGTATAATTAATTATATTGATATATTTCATTTTATATTTAAATTCTTCAGCAATAGCTATTTTTGGCATGTTTGCTATACGCAAGAAGTACTTAAACAGTGAAACTTTGTTTACATTCTTCTTCAAATTGTAATAAATTCCAGTCTTTTGTGATACTTTTTTTTTTATTTTACGTATACATGTATATGAGTTATTTTTAGATATCAAAACTATAGGAATATTTGCTTTTTTCTTGAATTTTGTGTGCTGTAATAATTAAGTACAGTCATTTGACAAAGCATCAGTATTAAATACATCATGTATTTCGACGTTATCATATAAACCCCTTTGAAATTGGTCAAATTGTGTATTAATTTGCTTTGGTCACAAGTGTTTCTTATCTGCATATCACTTCCCCGATAACATGTTGGAATACATGCTGTGTAGAAAAGAATTTGTTTGTTCTAAATGTATTACAAGGTCAAGAATGTCATGTGTTGTAAATCTTTGACTTTTAATTACATCAATATATAAGAACGAAATTTTATCGTTTGAGATTACATAGGTGAACTTCAATAAGGTATTATAAAAAATTACTTGCCAGACGAATAAATTCTTCTTTTTCATCCGATTTTCCATGATACATTATGAATCCATCCTCTCTATATCTGCAATGATGGAATTTTGGAGAAGGCGTTACAAGTTGAAAAACTTTGTGTCTAATTCATTTGTCCATTTTGAATGTCTAATTCATTTGTCCATTTTGAACAATAAAATATGTTTTAACAAATGATAGAACTATAATATTGCCAAACGCTTATGCTTGTTATCAAATCATTGTTCATATTTGTTTTTTTAAATAAGAACGTTCTTTTACTCATTTTTCAATTGATAAGTCAAAATATATCTTAAGGTCAACCTATCTGCAGGAATATAATGACATACTACGTACATGATTATAAATCATATCTGATCCGATATCTGATCTACACAAATCACTTAACTTACTTGCGGGGACAGCGAATAATTACAGCTACAATACTGTTTACACTAAATTATCATATATCTTTTATTAAAGCAAACAACAAATGAAAATTATACCTACTTTGCAATTTTTACAGCCACTGTAAACTAAGTATGTATATCCAACGTTGTAAAATTTGTTGTTGTAATCAAATTGGCGCACATAAATTCGAAATGCCGGCCTCATACGCATGCGCGAATTGAAATAAAATATGTTTGTGAAATTGAAATATGTTACCGCAAAAATTGTAAAAAGTGATTCATTCACTTTTATCATGTCAATTTGAAGATTTATATATATTAGCAAAAGTAATCATTGAATTGATTCGAAAACATCAGTCAACCAATATAAATAAAAGGTTGCCGGCGTGTCTGCTGAGTATAAATGTCCGTGTACGTGTCATTTTGATGTTTTATATTAATTTAGACGTCCGTCCAACATTTAGAATCCGACGTTGTGTTGACGTTGTATAAGGTCGCGACCAAAAACCAAGGTTATATAGACGTAATTCTATAACGTCCAACAGACGTTTGCCAGTCGACGATGAACCGACGTTGAATTAAGGTCGCCGACGTTGCGACCTTTTTTTCAATCAAATATCAACGTCTGTACAACATCGGGTGCCTGCTGGGAAGACTTAAGGTGAAGACGCGGATGATGTTAAAACCAAAACGGTCTTTTAAGATTAAAATTCATTAGGTGGTGACACATTACTTTTTTGAAATGTTTGATCAATGAACATAATAGATGCCATATCTGTTATGCCTTGTATTAGCTACAGAAACACAAACCAATATCATAACAAGAAAAAAATAGCGTTATGAAATTAGGTTAAGCTGACGTTATCTAATATAACAGACACATGTACTTAAGAGGCAATATTTAGTGGTCCTGATGCCTAGTATTCCCAAATCGACACCATTAAACCATAGTATATAGACAAAATATAGTTGATCAATCACATAAGCATGTTATAGAGCTTCTCGCTCTTCATAGCAACCTGCCACTACTGACATAGTAGACTGTATTTGTTGTCCTTCCGGGAATACTTATTCGATTAAGTGTTTGATGTAGTGTATCTGCTCTATGTAGAAAAGTAGATATGTCTTTTTTTTTCTTTTTTTTTCTTTGTTTCAAAGGTGGCTATCTAATTGACGTTTATCCCATATTTTCTTTTGTTAATGTCTATGTTTCGCCTTCACTGACTTTCGTCGTACAAAAAACAAACATTTGCAGTCTTTAAAGATCGTATATTCAAAAATAAAAATATCTACGTC